TTCAAAGTAATAGGATGGGACTGTGAATTAAAATTAATTGGACAGGGCTTGGAGAAACCTGGTCTAAGTGGGAGGTGTCCCTGCCCCTGGCAGAGGGGTTGGAACTAGATGGTCTCTAAGGTGCCTTCCAACCCAACTCATTCTGTGATTCAACTGTAATAACATGTCTATAAATGTCTGCAGGGTGGGTGTCAAGAATGGGCCAGTCTTTTTCAGTGATGCCTGTGACAGGACAAGGGGAAATGGCACCAAGTGACAACACAGGAAGATCCACCTCAACATGAGGAGAAACTTCTTTCCTGTGAGAGTGACAGAGCCCTGGGACAGGCTGCCCAGAGAGGTTGTGGAGTCTCCTTCTCTGGAGACTTTCCAGACCCATCTGGACACGTTCCTGTGTGATGTGCTCTGGGTGTTCCTGCTCTGGCAGGGGGGTTGGGCTGGGTAATCTCCAGAGATCCCTTCCAACCCCTAGGATTCCATGATTCTATGATATAAATGGAGCTTGAGGAGAAGAGAAAGACACTTTCCTTTGCCAAGAAGCCTTGCTCCTGATTTTTTGTCTCCTTGCATACCAAATGTGTGTGTTTTTCTCCTGTCCCACAGGAAATCTGTGATGATCCACATCTCTTTGTAGATGGGATCAGCTCCCATGACTTGCACCAGGGCCAGGTTGGGAACTGCTGGTTCGTGGCTGCCTGCTCCTCCCTGGCATCCCGAGAGTCTCTGTGGCAGAAGGTAAGTGGTTCCCAGTGCCAAGGGAAAGCATCTTCAACCCCTTGGCCTCACATTGTGTTTGTCTGACTCAAAAACTCGTTCTTCAGGGATGCCCCAGGTCCTGAAATACTTTGTGTGCAGAAACCTCCCTTAAGGAACCATCTTTCAAGGAGAATTCAGTCATCACAGCTACAGTCCTATTGCATTCAAGCCAAAAGTTTGGCCAGTTTCTCCTTAACCAGGCTGCCCAGGGAAGTGGTGGAGTCACCATCCCTGAAGGGCTTTCAAAGCCATGTGGATGTGGGGCTGAAGGACATGGTTTTGGAGTACACTTGGAAGTGCTGGATTAATGGTTGTACTTGATGATCTTAAAGGTCATCAAGTGATGATCTTAAAGGTTCTACCTAAGTTATTCCATGATTCTATGATTGAATCAGGCCCTGTCCTGTCTTCCAGAGCACAAATCTGATCCTCCCCACTCTAAAAGAACCTGAAAACCACCAGCAACAACAAAATTCAGGATGCTCAACTGCAGTGTTTAACCCTGTTTCCCTACTTCCCATGGGGTTCCCTCTCTTTGGCTGCTCAGTGTGTGCCCACCTGGGCAATGAGACCCCTTGCACTGGGGCAGGTAGGGTGACCTGAGGGAGTCAGTGTCTCTCCCAAGCTGCTGCTTCCCCTGGCATGTCCCATGGCTGGATTGCACCATGTAGCTCCTTCTAGTGTGGGCTCCACAGGGACTTTGCTGGGGGCAAGAAAGCCACCAAGGAGCTGCACCAGTGCAAGGAGCTGCAGACCTGAGGAGCAACACAGAGGTATGGGAGGGGAAGGAGGTGCTGAGGGCCACATCCTTGGCCAGTCTGTGCCCATCCCAGCCATGTCCTCAGATACAGAAGTCAGGGGTGCTTCAGACTCTGGTACAGGACAACTCATGATGGGGCAAGAGACCAAGCTGCAAGCACTTTTTTCCCCTAAGATTTTACTGCAAAAAGGCAGCCACCAAAGCCCTGCATGTGTGCAGACAGCATCTCCTGCTTCACCACAGCCTCCTACTGCAAGGGGCCCAAAAGGGGTCCCTCCACCCTTACACCTTGGCAGTGGCTCTGTCTGCTGTGGTTCTTCCAGCTGCTGCTGCCTGTGGGGTTTCTGGTCATGGACATTAAGCTCAGGAATTTCTGTTGACTGCTGCATCCCCCCCTTTTTCTGTTAAAATCAAGATTTTACTTGTACTCCAGGTGATCCTGCTCTATCAGGGGGGTTGGACTGGATGATCTTTCAAGATCCCTTCCAACCCCTAAGATTCTGTGTGATTCTGTGTGTGATTTTACTTTGTATGGGAGCAGAGCAGCTGTTGTTGGTTTCTGCAGGTTTCCTTCCAGGGTGGCTGGGTGACAGGGGTGGTGCCAGGGGCTGTTTAGCTTGTTCCTCTGCATCAGCAGCTCCCAAGGGCAAGTGGGTGAGTTGTCTCCCCTCCTCACCATTCACTTCCAGCCCTGCCCTGGGAAATGCCAACCAAACAGAGGCCAAGTCCCTTTGGGCACCTCATTATTTCAGGTTGCCAATGGCATTGCTTTTCCTCCCTTGGCAGTTTGGCTGCAGTTGTTTGTGACTTCTCATTTTCCATACCCTTAACTCTCAGAAGGTCTCCTTTGCCTTCCTCCTTTTCCTTTCAGAAAGGGTTGTTTTCTGTCAAAAAACAAAAGCTGCAGCATTCTCCTCAAGCTTTCCCTCCTGGTGATGTTCTGTTTGCTGGAGGGATCTGGTCAGACATGCTTCAGCACATTCCTCCTTTTGGAGACCTGTGAATTAAATGGGAACTTTGCTCACACGTTGCAAGGTGCTTATCATAGAATCAAGCACAGAAATGTAGAATACCAAGTTGGAAAGGACCTCAGGGATCATCTGGTCCAACCTTTCTTGGCATCAGTCGTAAAAACATAGAATGTCAGGTTGGAAAGGCCCTCAGAGATCATCTGGTCCAACCTTTCTTGGCTAAAGCATGGCCTGGGTGGGGGAACACCTTCAGGGAAATAGGACAGGTCAGCCACATCCCCATGTATCCTGAGAGATGATTTTATTCACACATTTTCTTCCACCTAGCTCCAAGGCTTCCTCCATGTTCTTCATTCCCACTAAGCCTGTGGTGTTCGAGTGACTGAGGGGGAATGGGGAACTGGAAGTTAATTGAGAACTGTTTTCTGTTTTCCTGACTCTCAGCCTGGCTACATGGCTTTGGGTGAGATCTGGCTCTAGGACAGCCTTTCTGTGGCCCTTCAGAGGTGTCTAGCTCTTATTTATGAAAATAAATGAAGGTGTTGAAACCACAGAGTTACAGAATGGTTTTGGTTGGAAGGGACCTTAAAGATCCTCTAGTTCCAACCCCCCTGCATGGGCAGGGACACCTCCCAGCAGCCCAGGCTGCTCCAAGCCCCATCCAACCTGCCCTTCAACACTGCCAGGGATGGGGCAGCCACAGCTTCTCTGGGCAACCTGGGCCAGGGTCTCACCACCCTCACAATGAAGAATTTTTCTTTTATGAGCTAGTCTTAATCTCCCCTCTTTCAGCTTAAAAGCACTCCCTCTCATCCTATCACTCCATGTCTGTGTCAAAAGCCCCTCCCCAGCTTTCCTGGAGCCCCTTCAGGCACTGGAAGCTGCTCCAAGGTCTCCCTGGAGCCTTCTCTTCTCCAGGCTGAACATCCATGGCTCTCCCAGCCTGGCTCCAGAGCAGAGCTGCTCCAGCCCTTGGATCATCTTTGTGACCTCCTCTGAACTCAGTCCAACAGCTCCATGTCCTGTTGATGCAGAGGACCCCAGAACTGGACCCAGCACTGCAGGGAGGGTCTCACCAGAGCAGACTAGAGGGGAAGAATCACCTCCCTTGACCTGCCAGCCATGTGTCTTTTGATTTAGCACAGGACAAACTTGGGTTTCTGAGGAGGTTGAAATAATTTACAGCAGTGCTTTGTCCTGAAGGGTTGTCTGGATCTCTCCCTGTGCTCCCACAGGTTGCACTGCCATTGCTCAAGAAACTGGGGACAGACTTTGTAGCCAAGTGGTTCAGAGATCTCTGCATTTTCACCACCTCTCCTGGTCTCTTTCCCCATCAGTTCTTTCGTTAGAGCAGGACAGTCTTTAATGGGATGACAGTGAGCAGATGGCTCTGAGGGCACTGACCTTCCCAAAGGCTGTTTTGGTCTTCTACAACCTAGGGTTAGTTATGGCTCTCTGAGGAGGCCCTGAAGGCTGATCTTCTGCCTTAGCAGGGTGGGGGAGGAACCTCATGTAGTGCCTGAGGGCTGGACCCCCACCGCAGTTTATTCATCATCAGGTGCAAGGTCATTTCTCCTTCTACTGCCACCACATTGAGGGGGTAAAAGAACCAAAGCAGTTGAACCAAAGTCCATTGCCACATGTAGCTCAGTTTAAAAAGATCTCCAGGGTTCCTTGAAGGCGTTTTTAACTTTTAAAACCCAAGGACTGAAACAACAGCAGTTGTTACAGGTGTTTTAAGGCTAGTGAACAAGTGAGGCAAGAGCTGAGGAACCATCAGGCTTCCCTCAGGATTGCTTCAGGCTGCCCCTGGCTTCAGGCTGCCCAGGGATGTGCTGGAGTCACCATCCCTGGCAGGATTGAAGAGATTTGTAGATGTGGTGCTTACAGACATGGTTCAGTGGTGGACTTGGCAGTGCTGGGTTAACAGTTGGACTTGATGATCCTAAAGGTCTTTGGTTCTGTGATTCAGCATGAGCACAGTCAGACACTGAAACAGGGGCCCAGAAAGGCTGTGCAATCTGCATCCATAGAGATATTCAAAGATGGACTGGACGACTTGATTTAACCTTGAAGTTCTGCTTTGAGGGCTGGACATGACCCCTCCAGGGTTCCCTTCCAACTTTCCTTATCCCATTAACCACCACTCAGAGAAACCCACTGCCACCCAGACCTGTGGGGTGACATTCCTTGCTGCCAGCCTTCATTTCGGGCTAGCAAGCCGTGGTTGCCAGGGAGGTTGCCAGGGAGGCTGACATCAGACATCCCTTCCCTATGGATTATCTCTGAGCAGCAGCACCATCAGGCACCCAGAGGGCACCCAGAGGAAGCCCCGGAGCCTGTCCTTTGCGTCACCACCCCGGGTTGCTTAGCACCACTGGGACCGTGGAGAGGGGGAACCAGCTCAGTGGGCTTGGTGGCTTTTATTGTGGGGTTTTTTTCTTCCTCCCCCTGCGTGTCGTGTTTGAGAAGCCAAACCTTGCTGAGGACGGAGTGGAGGAGCAGCCGAGGCAATGGCAGGAGAGGCAGGGATGCTGGAGCTGCCCCTCACCCGCGATGACCAGCTCACCCGCTGCATGAGGCTGCGCTTCCAGAGCCTGCAGGAGAAAAACACCAGGCCCCAGGATGGGGAGAAGCTGCTCCATCCCAACGAGCACGTCTACCGGGTGGATTTCACCCGGCAGCGCGACCTGCGTTTCCTCCGCTGGAACATCCACCTGGAGAGACCTGGGAAGGTCACGGTGACCGGTACCTCCCAGCACTGGACTCCTGATCTCACCAACCTTATGAACCGGCAGCTGCTGGAGCCAGCGGGTATCTTCTGGAAGCAGCCAGGGGCCAAGGAGGTGGGATGCAACGAGGCAGACGCCCAGGAGTTCGGGGAGCGGGTAGCGGAGTCAGCCCAGATCCGCAAGGTGATGTATTTCCTCTTGGCTTTCGCTGACGGCCTGGAACCAGCTCACCTGAGGGCCTCTGTCGTTTTTAAAGCCTGATCCCCCTCTTGCTCAGCTCTTCTTGGTCCAGCTGTGCTTTTTGTCTTCGTTTTAGTTTCTCTGAGTTCAGCCCTTGGTGGTTTCTAAGCGGTTCTGCACGGAGGGGCGACGGACGGCGCGGGGCTTCTGCAGCCCCCACCCTGCTACCTGCTCTCCAGATGTGCTGTCCTCTGCCCGAGTGGTGGGGAGGAGGGAGGGTGGGACATGAGCTGGTGCTGCTCTGTGTGCCTAGGCTGCGTGTTTGTGCATTCAGCAGGGAATCACCGTGTCTGACTGGTGCAGGGTCTTGCTGGCTTGGAAATCTGAGGCTGCCCTGAGCCCTCCAGCTGTGGCACCTGGATACCAAAAGTCTGATGGAAACATAAGAAATTGCCATACTAGAAACAGGAGAGACAGCCTGGAGAGAGCCTTCCTTGGCTTCCAGTTTCCATGCTAGCCATTGAAAAGAGAAGGCTTGTTTGCAAGAGGGTGCTTCTCCTTGCAAGGGTGCTGGGTGCTTGCAGGCTGCAGTCACTCTTGCTGTGACTCTGGCTGCTCTGGCTCTGAAGATCAGTCCCATGGAGGATCACCTTGCTGTGAGGCTGAAGTACCTTTGGACATGCTGTGTCCTGCCAGTTGCAAACCTGTTGGACACACCAGTTCAGGGAGGTTGGGCCACCCTTTTTCTGACAGCCGTGACCTTTTCTTGCTGGGAGTCAGTGTGGGGAGATGTTCTCCAGCACGTTGCCCACCTTGTGTTGCCTGGAGATGGTTGATCCTGTGGTGGGTTGGAGCAGGCAGGTGTGTGTGCAGAGCCAGACAAGTGAGCCAGCAGCTCAGAGCAGGCTGTAGGTCTGAGTCAGCAGTGAATACCCTGCAGCAAAAACCATTTGTTCATCGTTGTGGCCTTAAAGCAGCCATGAATAATGTATTTCTTCTGAAGCATCTATAAAGAGCCATGAGGCTGCAGAGCACTTTGGAAACCACAGAGCAGGAACCTGCTGCTGCTGTCCCCAAAAAGCAACATCTCCTGCCCTCCTGAAGTGCTGAGGTAGGGTGGCCTTGGGACCAGAGAAGAGAGATGATTCCTTTGCAAGTTCAGGAGCAGGAGGATGTTTTGTGCCAGTTCATCCCATCACTGTGAATACACTGCTAACTTTGGACATGCCCTTTTCCTCCACCAAAAAGTGGAGGGTACTTTGGTGAAGTCTCTTGAGACCCGTAGATAAGAATATTTAAGCATTATTACAATTGGTCCTTTGCTAAGGTGACACCACTTTGGTGAAGTCTCTTGAGACCCGTAGATAGGAATATTCTTTGAAAGAGTCAAGCATTATTACAATTGCTCCTTTGCTAAGATGACACAAGAGCCATGAGGCTGCAGAGCACTTTGGAAACCACAGAGCAGGAACCTGCTGCTGCTGTCCCCAAAAAGCAACATCTCCTGCCCTCCTGAAGTGCTGAGGTAGGGTGGCCTTGGGACCAGAGAAGAGAGATGATTCCTTTGCAAGTTCAGGAGCAGGAGGATGTTTTGTGCCAGTTCATCCCATCACTGTGAATACACTGCTAACTTTGGACATGCCCTTTTCCTCCACCAAAAAGTGGAGGGTACTTTGGTGAAGTCTCTTGAGACCCGTAGATAAGAATATTTAAGCATTATTACAATTGGTCCTTTGCTAAGGTGACACCAAAAGGTGGGTGAGCACTCCAGAAGTTATGGATTCTCCTGAGATGGGGAAGAAGAGTGCAATATTGGGAAAGCCAGGACGAGGTGCTTTGTACCCATGGCCTGCTCACTGGTATGGACAGTCCCAAAAGGAGTCCAACCTCTTCTTCAAAGCCTCCAGAGACACAGACTACATGCCCTCCCCAACCCAAAAATAATGGATAAAATGATTTGCACAAGCTATGCCAGGAAGAGAGGAGAAGGAAGCAGGAAGATGAGCTACAGGCTGGAGAGATGGTGGGAGCTTTGAGTCCTGCTCACAACCAAAGCTCCCTGAATACTGCATCATACAGCCAGGCCATTGGGCAGTGCTGGAGAAGCTGATGTCTTTGCTTAGACCCCAGGAAATTCTACACTCAAAGAAGAGAGAGAAAAGTGGATCAAACCCAGTTCTAGTTTGTCAGCAGATTTTCTCATTGGAAACCCCTCCTTGTACATCCCAGAGCAGAGCTCCCGATTACAAACCACATTCAACCAAATAACAGGAGCTACTGCCAACATCCCAAGGGGTTTTTAGATGCCAGGTCTCACAAGATGCCACTGCTATGTTGCTGGTTGCTGGGGTAGAGTTCCTGCTGTAGACACCTCGCTGGGTATTGCTGTGACACAATCAATAAAAGCCTAGTGAACAGGGTTCCCCTTAAGGACTGAAGCTCTTTGTGTGTCTTCTTCATGCTCTTTTTGGAAGCTGCCCCAATCCTGCATTCAATAAAGCAGCACTTGCCAATTTTCAAGCCACTGTTGGAATTTTTTGAGCACCTTTATATCTCTTGTAAAAAGTAAAACGAACATTTACCTTCTTTTCTCTTGGTGTGAAAGGCTTAATGGAACATTTAGTGGTTTGTGTGGTTTGGGGAGGGGTTTGAAGGTGGGGAGAGAGAGGAAATCATCTGTCCTCTGGTGGACCCTCCTTTCCATCACAGCCAGGGGTGGGATGTGAGTGGGGCAGTGTGATTTTTCCCTGCTGCAGGGCAGATGAGCCAGACACTTCATACCACTCACTGAAACTCTCCTTACCCAGTTTTGCCATTCCATAAAGGCTTTCAGATCCACCACTCTGTCCCATCTCCCAGGGAAATTTCATCCCTGTTTGTACCATGGTTCTGCAGATTGGCACAGCTGGGTCCTTCCCTCCCCCTTCCTGAGCTGGCAGGTTCCCAGCTTGGAGGAATTGGCATTTACCAATTCCTTCTTCTAATGGAGATGTTTCTCCAGGGTTACAGTTGTTTTTTCTCTCATTAGCCACTCTTAAGAAAAAAAGACAAAAAGCTCTAAAGCAGCTTAGGGAAACAAACTTGGTGTTTCTGGGCTCCCAGTTTACCTGTCTCTGAGCCCTTTTGCTGTAGATTTGTCCCATAAAAGGGTGTTACAGCTTCAGATTTTGGGGACCCCTAAGCAAAATGCACAACAGTTGGGTGAATGAGGAGCTCTGGTCCCCACTGCCTCAGTGTCCCACAACCAAATTGAGTCCAGGACTCAGTGGGATCCTGGGATGGGCATGCTCTCCAGTACCCACTGAGGAGAGACAAAGATGGTAGAAACATTTTGTCTGGAAAAGACCTAGACCAGCAAGTCCCAAGACCTGGGAAGGTTTCCTGGGAGTGGGTGGGAGCCATGGACCTCAGTCACATGATGATCTCCTGGAAGGATCTGGGCTGGAGCTACTGCTGGGGTTTATAGGTGTGCCCCAGGTTGATCCTTCAGGTTATCTCCAGCATCAGGTCACAGGTGGGGGTTGTGCTGTGTGCCTGAAGTGCAGTGTCCCAATAGGACCTGCACCCAGAGCTGCCACCTCTGCTCTACAGCCAGGGGACTCATGGGCATCTTATCCAAGGGGTGAATCAACTGGATGGGATGCTGTCCTCTTGAAGGAGCTGGGGAGAGGAATCTGATGTTTGAGCTCACACCTTGCTCTTTGGCAGGTTGGTGACAGTTTGGGCTCTGGAGATCAAGCTCCTCTTGGTTCCTCTTGGGTCGATGTTGAAACATGACCTGTCCTTGCTCCTGGATCCTGCCCCATGGGGAGGCTGGCAGCTTTTGCTACCTTCAGGTGTTTTCAGCACTGTCACCATATCAAGGAACAGAGAAGGATGGCACAGGAGGACCAATCAGTATCTCCTGCCACCAGTGACAGCAATGGCGAGTCTCAGAACCAGGCAGCTGGAAGCTGTCCCTACCAGCCCTGGCTGACAAGCTGCTTCTCATCAATGCCATAATCATTTCTCAGCCCACATTAATAGCAAGTTGATTAGCACAATGGTCCTCTATGACAATTCATTAGGGTGAACTCCAGGCAGGAGGGAATCGATGGGGACTGATGGAAGGCTGTCTGACCTTCCCTGGCACAGACTTCCTCTGGGACATCATTGTTAGGACTCCTGGAGAACACCCAAACCCTTCAGAAATGGCTCTTTCTCAGGGCTCTGTCTGCCCTGCTTCTATTGATCCAGACAACTCAGGAGCACCAGTGAGCTCCCAAGGCTGGTGGCTTCATTAATATTTCAGTGTAGGAGAAATAAAAGCTTTCAGCTGGATCATTGCTGTTAGCTAAGGACTCAGGGGGCTCCCCAGAGAGAGGTCTGTGCAGGGTTATGGCTTCATGATGGCAGCAGACAAGGAAGCAGAAGGCTCTGGTGGCTGGACAAGGGCCAAGGCAGAGTGAAGGAGGTCTCACCATCACCCAGGACTTCCTGAAGAGCCTCTTTCTACTCAGTGTAGCTTTGTCCCTTCCTGTCCTCTCCCACCCTGGCATTCATAGGTGTCTCCACAGGACAGTGATTATTTGGTTTATTGGAACATGATTTTCCCCATGGAAATGTTTCCCCACTGGAATTTTTCCTCACTGAAGTCATGAAGCTTTGGGGGCAGGTAAGTAAAGAAGCAGAAGCATGGACAGGCAGTCACTGTTGCAGCTGAATTGGTTAGTACTTGTCATCTGTCACCTGCATTGACTGTACATGGCCTCACAGCCCACCCTGGCCATCACCATGTTGCCTTCACCCTCAGCAAAAGCTAAGCTGTGGTGGGACAATTCCTTGCTGTCCACTTCTATCTCCTCGTTGTACATAAAATGCAGACCCAGCCAGTTGCAGTGTCTGTGTGTGGCTGTGCCCATGTCCATCCAAGCTATTGGGTGGGTTTTCCATCCAAAGCAAAGCTGGTGGTGCCCACAGGCATGAAGGACTGTGGTCTTTGGCAGTTGTGCCTTGTCCCACCTGCAGTGAAGATGGCAGTGACACCAAACTTGCACTCCCTCAGCCCTTTATTCTTTCACTCCACATCCTCTTTTGCTCCT